ATAACTATTTCATGTTGATATTAATAAAACTGGTTTCTAAACAAGGACCTTATTTACACCTTATATTACCTGCAACCTTTTAAAATAAACAAAAAACTTTGAAATGACTACCAAAAAGTTAACCTCGAATTTAGATCAATTGGACCTATCCTAATACTATATGCATGCCATCATTCTTAATTTCTTACTCTTTCATTTGAAATATTATGTACTACTGGTGGGGAGATATCTCACTACAATGATAGAAATAGGAGGCGCATAAAATAATGCAATGAAGTATTACATTATTTACGCACATATAAAGTGTTGGAATTCTTTGTCACATCAGTAGGTTTTTTCTAAATATAAAGTATATGGCATAGCTCTTAATTGTTGAATGCAAACGACTTATTATCTTAGACTTAGAAGTTAGAAACGAAACCTTTGGATATATATGAATATTGTAGTCTACATTTAGACATTAGAAATGTGAATTCTTCTGCGTTATAGTTATCTGGTATAAGACTTTATAAGGCGTCTAGACCAACTCATATTGTCATAAAAACTTTATAAGGTTTCCTTTTTATATATATAAGGTTTCCCTATATGATATCAAACGTCTTTTGCTTGGATAACCAAAACCAAACCACACCTCATTTTTTCGCTCGAGTCGGGTTGGCCAACCCGAACCACTTCGCCCGGCTAAACAGACCGTCTACTTACTTAATAATAAAGTACAACCTTCAAATTGAAATTGAAGTATCACTTAATTGCTATTGAGTACAATTAGTGAATAGTCATCAATTGCAATTAAGTTCTAAGTTCATACTATTTACATATATTATGAGCATTAATTTACAATAAATCACAAGAATAATATAATCAATCCATTTAGAGAGAATACATATAATTGAAATATTTTATAATATTGAATTCCATTTCATATTTTGAAATGATTTATCGAGTTGGTTCTATAAAATCAACTCACAAATAAGTTTGAAATCTTTCATTTGGTATTTTGAAATGTTTTGTATACTCTGTTTCAAGAATATACACACATTTTGAAATGTTTGGTATACTTCATATTCCATTCAGTTTATATATGATGTGTGGACGACCAATAATATGCGAGAACCATTACTTCAATTCTAATATACTCCGTATAACTTTTCTTCAAAAAGTAACTTAACCTTTATTTCATATTCATAAATAGGTATTCATATATAGGTTTTGGTTCAAATAAGAACATGATCTTATGAGAAAAATGAGAATAAATCTGGGTCGTTAGATTTGCTTTAAGTGAAATTCAATGTGCATTAGATGAAGTTGTAATGTGTATTATGTGAAACTGAAATGTGCAATACAAAGGGTACAATGTAGTGGCATTATGTGAAGCTAAATTGTGCATTAGGTGAATTTGAAATGTGCACTAGATGAAACTAAAATGTGCAGAATAAAAGGTATGATGTGATGTTATTTTTGTACCTTTTATTCTGCACATTTCAGTTTCACCTAATGCACATGTGAGTTTAAATTTTTATTCTGCACATTTCAATATCATCTAATGCACATATCGGTTTCACCAAATGCACAATTCAGTTCCACATAATTCAATCCAACGGTCCAGATTCGTTCTCATTTCTCTCCTAAGATCCGTTCTTACCGGAACCGCTCCCTTCATATATATATATATATATATATATATATATATATATATATATATATATATATATATATATATATAGGAAAAACTTCCGGTAAGGTATACCTTACCGGAGCCGCCGTGCGCCCTCCATGTTTTGAGGGCCTTCCCGGTGGAATTTTTCGATGAAATTTTTTGAGCATGTTCTTCATCAAGTCTAGTACATTCATACCACATTTCAGAAAAAAATTCAATCGGGAAGGCAGTCAAACGATTTTTGGAAGATAACTGCGTTTTATATGTATATAAAGGGTGCAGTTATCTTCCAAAAATCATTTGACTGCCTTCCCGATTGAATTTGTAGCTGAAATTTGGTATGGATGTACTAGACTTGATGAAGAACGTGCTCAAAAAATTTCATCAAAAAATTCTACCGGGAAGGCCCTAAAAACATGGAGGCCGCACGGCGGCTCCGGTAAGGTATACCTATACCTTACCGGAAGAGTTCCCTATATATATGCATAGTATAATTTTTATTTTACAATATTAAGTTTCTTATAATGACAATATTTATTTTTTATTAGAAAATATAAAGAATAGATTGAATTATCAAAAATCTGGTGAATTTTATACTTATTTATAAATAAGTGTATAATGATTAGTTTTCCTTTTGAAATACCCATAAAACAATAGTTACTCTTGAAAATATCAATAAAAGTGTTAGTGTATTCAAAACATATGAGGTAATGATTTAAACCTAATTGATGAAAAATGTGTGATAAAAAAGTTAGCTTATTCAAAATTTAAGAGGTAGTGATTAAAACTCAATTGATATATGTTTCTCATTTAATTTCAAAATTGACATTTTACATTTACTAATAAAGTTACATTCCGAATCACGCTTAAAATAGGAGAACCATTTAAAATATGAATTGAGATTTTGAAATTAGAGAATTGAATTAATACTGATAAAGTATAGTATAATAAGTAAATAATGACTATTAAATAAATATAAATCATATTTATCTATATGTTTATATTCTTCATAAAATTATAGGATTGGTATTTTATACTAAATGTGCATGAATTTAGGATAAGAAATAAATAAACAAATAAATAAATTGAATTAATTTCAAATTTTTGCTTTATCCATATTCATTTCATGTATATATTATCGAGTTAAGGAATTGAAATAGTATTAATCAAATACGTAATTTAATAAGTTATTTTATTATGAGAACATGCACATTGTGAGATCTTCGAATTAAATATAAAATCTTTTTTTTTTCATGTTTTTTTAGTCTCCACAATATTATGGAATTGAAACTTTCTATTGTGTGTGTGCATTAGGGATACGGGGAGGAACTCGTTCATTAGGAATTTTGTTCTAACAGATATGTTTGTATTTATATTTTAATTTTTAGAATTCGAATAGCCTTAGATGAATTCGAATCCTAAACCGGACATGAATTATTTAATTCATATACAATTCTCCAATGACTGGATTGTCTATTCATGTCCTCCACTTTAAAATCGAAGACCCAATAATATTATTGAGAAAAATTAACCATTCATAAGCTTTATTCAGTTCGGTGGAACAAAGTTGATTATAACGAGGTTGGGAAAAGTGGTATAACAATTAACAAGTGATAACTCGAAAAGCTATGAAAGGGGCTCAAAGCTTAAATGTTGAGAATCTCATTGTCACCATATGACAACTTTATTCAACTTTCAGAAAAAAATCAATTTTCTGTGATGACAATTTCTGCAATAGCAATCAATAAAAAGTCAAGGGTAATGTTATCACATAAAATTTCATTTATACCTTGAAATATAAGCTTTAATAATGAGCAATTGTACGTTGCAATACCAAGCTAGTGTAATAAGGAAAGACATCTTTAAATACTCATACGTTCAAAGCAAATAAATTTATTTACCAAGACGGTGAATATTGTTATAAGGAAGTTTCCCAAACCCTAACAATGTGATGCATGTTTGGTGTGTGTGATGTTACATTACAATGTCACTTTTAATATATTCTATTTAATGAAATTACTATTCACAACAAATAAATGTTTATTTGAAATACAATCACGACGTATTTATGTATTATAAAATAACGGAGGTAGTATATAAAATATATATTGTACAAATTATTCAAACATTCTTAAAATCCGACCGGGGCAACGCCCTGGTAAAACACTAATATAATTTTATGAGTTTTTTCCCAAGATAATGTTAAATAAATTAATATTTCCAAAAATAGTGTTGGGTTAAAGTATTTCCCAAAATACTACTAGGATAATGAGAGTTAAAGAACCGCCACTTAAAGTGACGGCTTATATATACTATCGTATATATACGTAAAAAACTTATGCACGTACAAAGGACCAAAGGTAAGAGCAAGAAGACATCCAGTCATGGGTCCCACCACCAAATAAAATATCATGTTTTTTTAAATTGATAGAACTTTTTTATTTGTATTCCAATTTTTATAAAAATATATCAAAATTCATAACTTTTATTACTCCCTCCGTCCCTTATTAAACTTCCAAATAGGTTTGGCACACAGTTTAAGATAGTGGGTATTGTGTGGTGGAGAGTTATGCAGAGGAGAGAGAAATGTGTAAGAATTGTTGTGAACCACACATTCTGACCAAAAAGGGAAAGTGAAAGTTTTAATTGGGACGGACTAAAAAGGAAAGTTGGAAGTTTATTTAGGGACGGAGGGAATATCTTTCATATGAAACCAATATCGAATATATAAAAATAAAAATAAAAATTGACACTTTAAAAATATCTAATTTTTAAAGTGCTATATCTTTTTTATTTATAATCCAATCGTTATAAAATATACGAAGTATCAAAATTCATAATTTTTTATTAATTTTCATATGACATCAATATTAAATATATAAAAATAAAAAATAATTTAACACTTTAAAAATATCTACTTTTTTAAAACAATATATCTTTTTTATTTGTACTCCGATTATTATAAAAAATATATCAAAATTCTAAAGTCTTTATTATCTTCTATATGATATCGATGTTGCATATATAACATTATAAAGTTATACGGAGTATAACTTTAAAATGCTATATCACTAAAACAAAGCATTATATTTTATTTGGTGGTGGAACTCATGACTGGATGTCTCCTTACTCCTGGACATGCAGATATTTTTTTACGTATATAAGTTGATATAAGTTGTCACTTAAAGTGGTCGTTCTTTAACTCTAATTATTCCACTGGCATTTTGAGAAATACTTTTAACATTATTTATTTAATATTTTGGATCGAAAATATTTATTTATTTAACATTATTTTGGAAAAAACTCTAATTTTATTTTTATTCACTTTCTTTGGAATTCGTAGACAAAGAAATTTCAAAGTGAAGTTCCTATCGAATAATTATCAGCTTAAGATATCTGCTGACTGCTTGGTCTATGAATGAATTTATTGACTATGCATTCTCGCTGGAGGTTGATCCCTTCAGCTTTCCCACACATCAGTGATTCTTGCACTTCTTGTAAGCTCATTTTGAGCTTTATGCTTTTCATTTCCATTAGCCTTGAAGATTCAAACTTTTATGGTTTATAAGTTGTTTTGAGTTTTAATAGTGGAAAATATCTGAAATTCCTGCAGATTATTTACCAATATTCATACCCAATCAATTGCGAAGTGTGAGTTCTCTGTTCATAGTTTCTGTAAGATGTATTTTGCTGAAAGGTTTCAAATTCGATTGTAATTTCTATTGATTTGTATGTTTCCTGCTTTGCAATTCAAACCAGAGGAATTGTAGAGCTGATATCAGAAGAGCTTTATCAAGTCGAGTCAAGAAGACGAGAGTAAAAGGCCTAAAAAGAAAAGAGAACACTAAATTACCCAATGGTGATCTGCTGGATAAGGAAAATAACACCATATCTTCTGTTGTAGGGGAGGCAGGGAGTTCTAAAAAAATCCCATCTAGGGTTTCTGTGCTCCAGGCATGCACTGTTACATCTGGTTTAATGGGTCTTTTGGGCCTTTTGATTCGTCAGGTTCACTTTACTCACTTCATCAACACTTTGATAACTTGTGATAAATATCTGAATGTGTGCTTCTTTTATCATTTTTTTTAAGTGATTATGTATGAACTCTGTTGCATATCATATGAGAAAATTCTCTTGCAATTTGTTCATTGTTGAAGAGATTTCATAATTTTGGTGGCCTTTTTAAATTAAAAAAAAAAATAAAGTTATGAAGTCAATATTGAGTGGAAACTTCAGTTGGTTTTTACCGTTTCTGTCTTAGCTAATTTGCAGGTCTCTCATGCATCACAAGAAGGATTGCCTATTGCTGACTGCTCTGCTGAATTTTCATGTAAGATTGAGTCCTCTAATCCTTTGAATAAGTTTTTTGGTAATGTGACTAATGTTATATACTCTGTAGGAAGCAAAGTTATTTAAACATGCCTTAATTTATTTATGTGTTTGTGCTTTTTAATCAAAAGTGTTTATAGGGAAATAAGGGTGAAGTTGAATTTCAAAAACCAGATAGGTAGAGATGTTTTTTAAAATATTTTTTTTGAAGTGCCTTTTAAGAGCAATCCTAAGAAATGCTAATTAATAGCATTTCTAATTTTAGTTCAATTTTTAAAAATGATTTCAAGTACAAGCAGTTTAGAAAAAGGACCAAAAGTTTATATTAACATTTCACTGGCAGTTGGCTCCAATGCAGGGGATTTTCAGGTGTGGCATCTTAAGTTGATTATGGGGCTGGTTGTATTGGTATCATCAGGCCGATATTTACTGTTGAAGACTTGTCCAGATTTTGCTGAATCTAGTGAAGCAGCAAATAGACAGGTACTTATGATACTTGTTGTTTGTCATCTTTTTTATTTAAGTATGTGATCTTTTGTACCTAAATGTATCTGTATTTGTGAATGCCAGGATCATTTTTCTTCTTCTTTCATCTACAAAATTTGACACCAGCGTATAGTTTGCAGTGCTTTCTAAGTCTAGGCTTTGTTTGAAAGATAGGTAAAATAAAAAATGCTATGGAGTTTCTCATAAAAATGCTAGGGAGGATTGTGTTAGTTTTCCCTTGAAAAATACTGAGGAAGACTAAGATTGATTAGCTTTTTAAATTTTTATTTTATGTTATGTATATATTAAGATTCTTTAGTCTATATACTTGGTATAATAAAACATACTTCGTATTAAAAATATGAGTTTGAACAAATATCTAAAATTGTTTCATTGCGTTTGAACTTCCCTTTTCCCCATTTTTTTCTTTCTCCCTTAGTTCCCCCCTAGTATTTCTCGGATTGCAAACAGAGACTAATTGAATGCAAACTACAAAACTCTTAGCTGATGTTCGCAGTGAAGGAAGAAATTCTACGTTTCATGTGTATCATTAGCATATAGCAGCTAGTTTACAATGAGGGTTTACTTACATGCTTCCAATGAACTATAATTTCCTCTGAAATTTGCAAATGCTGCATGCATCAGGTTCTTACTTCTCTTGAACCATTTGATTACATTGTCGTGTCATTTCTTCCTGGAGTTAGCGAGGTATCCACAGACAATTAGTCAGTTCTTTTACATTTCTTCACACAGTTTTGTTTTGTTAGATTTCAAAACAAACACCAGCAAGCTTTGATGGATGTTTATTAATAAATTCAACAGGAGTTTCTTTTCCGTGGTGCACTATTGCCTCTTTTCGGTGTCAATTGGCCAAGTGTTCTGGCTGTTGCTGCTGTCTTTGGAATATTACACTTGGGCAGCGGCCGAAAATATTCATTTGCGATATGGTATTTTGTTCAATCTTGGAACCTTTTATTAGCTTAAGCCTTTAAACTTCAAAGCCGTGCTTAACCAATGATAAAGTATCAGTAACTATTGTATTATCAGCACTTTCAATTTGTAGAAATATCGGTAGGCATTCCAATATCCATATCGATAACAGAACAAATGGGGGGGGTTGCCTTTTGTTACTTTTCTGAGAAAACATATGAGACTTTTCATATTTTTTGACTTCATAATATTTTCTCAAAATGTTCTGCTATGTTTTACTAAAAGTTTCTCAAAATGTTCTGACATTCTCCTAGAAACATCGAGATTCTAGAGAAGCTATGTTTCCTCCATATCGATATCGAGAAACCTTAAATACAGAAATTAAATTTTGATATTTCAGGCTATTTTCATCATATTGTGCTTAACTCATTATGATCAATCAATCTTTGACGTTGCACATTATAAATATTGGTCCAAAAACCCAATACTTCAGGATGCCCTTCGCCCGTTTTTATTCATAGATCAGACCATAAGCAGGAATACGTAGTTTTTTTTAAAAGCTTGAAATTTATCAAAATCACTGAATTTTAGGATTTTGGGAAACACTGATATCATATGTCGATTTGTGTTAGCCGACCCCGAACTTTTTTGGGAATAAGACTTGGATGTTGTACTGAAATTTATGAACTGAAGTTGTGAGGTGTGTGTTTGGCTGGAAAGTGTAATTACTGAAAAGGCATGCAGTGGCTTTTATGCATAACTGAAGCAAAATACAAAAGGTTAAAGTTGCCATTCTTGAATGAACAGTATATATAAATTTATATTAGCAGAACTAGTAGCTATACTGCTACTTCTTTGGCTGAAAAGTCTTAACAGCTGAAGAAGCCAAATATAAGCTGTGTTTGGTGTTTTTTGCCTTTATTTTAGACATTTCAGCCTACAAGGATGTACTGAATGGCCTCTTTGACTTGCTTATTTGGCTGAAATGGATGTTATCAAGCTGTGAGAATTCAGCAGATTCTGTCATTTCAGCCAAAATAAATACTCCCTCCGTCCCAATATAAAGAGCACATTTGCTTTTTCAAACATTTTGAGGAACACTGTTTAGACACTGTTTTGCACTGTTTTGTTTGCCAAAAAGGAAAATGTGCTTTTTATATTGGGACGGAGGGAATAACTGTTATAACATGAGCTCATCTTTGACACATTTGCAACCTTGTGGTGCTAAACAAATGAGCATCTTTCTGTTCAAAAGCCATTGGATTGTGACAAACTGAATTTATGAAATTTTTCAGGGCAACATTTGTGGGGCTCGTCTATGGCTATGCGACAATGTTGACGTCAAGTATTACTGTTGCAATGGCTGCTCATTCTTTGAATAACTTGGTAGGAGGAATCATATGGCGTTCCACAACAAGCCATTCAAAATAGATTGGAAGTGTATTAAAAATATTAGCAAGTCTTCTGTTGTATCTGTTCCCTTCCCTATAAATGACACCACCAGCCACCTGATGGGGAAGCCATAAGCCCATAATTTTAATATAAAGCTTTTCAATTGATCCATTAGACAGCCCTGTGTAGTTATCATTATAGTGTGTATAGATTTTTTTGAATAATTAATATCTTTGAGGCCTTGGGCCTTGCTTTGAGAATTCAAAAATCTTCAAAGCAATTGGGATTTGGGAACGTAACTATATTGTCTAGCCATTAGGTCGTATTTAATTACACATATTTGCCTTAAAGTTACACCCGTTTCAAGAGGGTCATTTTATACTATCCAATATTCTTTAATTCTTGCAACAGTTTGACTTTCACGTTTGCCAACACACAATTTTGACTATAATTATATTTAATTATGTATTAGTAAACATTATAAAAAGTTTATATTTTGAAAATTCACATTGATAATAATTCAATAACATTTTATACGTAATAATTTGCTTATGTATGTCAGTAGAAAATCGTGATCTAAGTAAGGTCTCTGAATAGTGCAATTAGCACAATGTTGCAAGAATTAAAGAATGGATGAAGTATAATTGTGTGTATATTCTGAAATGGAACTGGAGCAGGTGACGGAGGCCTAGAATCATCATATTAAATCTTTCGCACAAAAATTATTTTGCCCACAACTTTTTTGCTTATGATATAAAAAAGATTTTGCAAACTTAATCAATGCTGTGGGCACAACCCCACAAGTATGGGTCTTCCAAACACAACTTCAAATCACAAAGAAGAATCTAAAAATACAAATCCACTTAGATTTTTGGGGGAGATGATTTTTGAGGATGTAAAACTTATTTATCATTATACTTTAATCAGTAAATGTTTTTCTTTTATATTATAATATAATAATAATTATAATTATAATTATAATTATGATAATATTAGATGGCAAAGTGAGAGTGGTCGTTTTTCCATTTCACCACTTCAAATTTGCTCCCTCCCTACAAGTAGGGATTTTACACCAATTATCCTTCCCAAATCCAAAAATAAAAGGAAATTATTTCAACTCCCTTAAAATGATGGTTGATACAGTACGTAGATAATTACAGCTTCTCACTTTTTAAAATTTTATTTTATTTGACCAAAAAAACGAAAAGTCAAAGAACATATTCTCATAGGTGAGGTGAGATGGACTTTTCTGTGTTACACGTTTGAACAAACAGTTGATGGACGTTTTAAGACCAGCAGCTTCTCAATAGACAGCAGTACAACAATGGCGACTTGTGCTGTGAAAGGAGGATGTCCCAGTGACTACATAGCCATCTCCGTCGCCATCGCCTCTATAACCTTGTAATTGCCTGCTTCATTTATTTACTTTCTTCATAAAACCCTCATCTATAGTTCCTATTCAAGAGTTACAGTTTGTGAGTGCGTTTCTTAAGACAATTTGCAGGGCCTGTTATTTCCTTGCTCTTTCTGATTTTTATGTTCGGAAAAGGATTTAGCTTTTTGCGGAGTGGTTTCTAGTTAAATTATCAAGTGATGGTTGCTTTGTTAACTTTTCACATGTTTGGTTGTAGACTACTTGGAAAATCGTTGTCGCCATATCTGATCCACAAAATCCCTAGGCCTAGAGGAAGTAGCTTCTGGCTTATGGCAATTCAAGTTTTTGCCAGCTTCAACCTTTTGTTATCAATTTTGGTAATGGATGATGCTCTTGCTGCTTTTATTTACCATCTCCTTCCAGCAAAATTTGCTTGACATTTTCTATGTTTTATTTTTAGATGTCCCTGCATTTCCTAAAAATTGGAAAGAGGAAGCGGTGGACTTCTTGCTATCTTTGGGCAGGTAAATTACTCTCTCATGACAAACAATTGAACTTTTGTCATTCTTGCCTAATGGTTTTTTGCTGCTTTTTAGTTTTACTTATTTCGCAAAAAAGATTGATTTGTTATATTGCATTCCAGTCTGGGTAGAGGGGCCGCTTGGTTTTGGTTTGCTGTTGTGCTGCCGCATTGCACAGGCATTTCACCTATATTTTGTATTTGTGAAGTAAGTTTGCTTCTTAAACTCTTCTATTTACAAATTATTACTTTCAGGTATAGACTAACTGGCTGAACCAGTCAACCTCTCATGTGCTCTAAAGTTTAATAACAAAAATAAAAAATATGGAACTTTAGTTCATGGTTTAGCACTTTGAAGTACAATGATCTGAAACTTATAGTTCCAAGTAATAAAACTATGCAAAAGGGGGTGGGGTGAGTCCTCATAATTGAGGCGTTTTACTTAGAGTTTTCCAAGGTCCAAGTTAAACTATTACTTACTTCAATGTTTATTCCTTACTATTCTTACAATGACAGGAGACGTCTGCCACCTATTAGATCTTATATATTCCTCCCAATGATTCTCCTCCCATGGATTGCTTGTGGTTATTGTAAGAATCTCTGATTTGATTCTCTGGTTGACCTTGGCTCATATGTGATTTGATGGAAGATAACAAAAATATATTTCTCTTTTTACACGAACACTTCTGCACCTGAAATCTTCTCTGCATGTAAAAAATCATTTACTGTATTGCTGCTACTATATGTTTTTTGAGGTCTTTCAACCATTTGGTAAATAATGCGCATTGTGGTTAGCAAAGTGCACTTGTACTATTTTTTCCATTTCTTCCCTTCCTGGCTTCCCTCATCCCTGCACATGTTAAAAGTTCAAAACTTACATGCTCTAACACCCTTAAAACTAGGAATTGTAGTCCTAACTCTAATTTTATGATAAGCAAGATAGCACTTCAATGCCTCATCCACTAACCAATGTATTTAGTTTTACAAGCTTTTGTAAAATGTTGCTTTTACTATTTCCCTCTTTTGAAGAAGAAGAGATGTGCCTTCACCTGCCTATTTTTAATCTCATGTGTTTATATACTTCAAGTAACATCTTTTTAATGACTTGCTCATGTCAAGGAACAACCGTGTGTTGCTTTTAAAATCACCATTTTTTCTCTGCAGTTCTTCACAAAGAAAAGCCTTTGAACAACCATTGCCACATGCGGATTCAATGGATCATTCCAGTTATTTCCCTTCATGCGTTATATGTTGCCACTTTGATTGGTTTTACAGGAGCAGTTCGACACATCAAGTTTAGATTCGAAGAGCTAAAGGCCCTCTGGAGAGGAATACTTGTTTCCACTGCTTCCCTTGGTACATTTCTGCTAACATTTCTCTCTTATCAGTACCTATGCATCTTATCTTCAACAAAACTGCATGCTCTATGCTAGTGCCGGTAAAAATTATGTTACACCAATGCAATCAATAATGACTCATTTGGAGTTTGCGAAATAGTATCATGAATCATGATATGCTTTTGTATGTGGAGATATTTGAATAATCATATACACTACTTTTTATGTTAGGTGTTTGGGTAGTTTCCTACATTCTGAATGAGATTTATGAGGAAATAAGTTGGCTACAAGTTGCTTCCAGATTTTTCATAATGGTTATGGTAAGGTTTCCATAATATCTATGATTTTAATTGGCACAAAGTGGAGTGACATTTGTGGTTGGTTTTCTTATAAAGTTTCTGATGTGTTTGCAACTCCACAGGCTAGTGTGCTGGTGCTGTTGTTTTTCACCTTTTCAATTTCTCAACCACTTGTCTCGCTTATGAGTTTGGCAAAGAAGGACGAAAGGGAGTACCAGACAATGGGTCAGGCACTGGGAGTAGGGGATAGCGGGCTTCTATATCAAAGGGAGTTATCATGGGATTTCAACTCAAACGAACCTTTGGATAAGCTTTTGCTAAACAAAAGATTTCGTGAATCCTTCACGGAATTTGCGGACAGGTACCCTGTTTTGGCTTTATGTTTCTCATATACGTAAAGGGAAGATATAAGTTTTAGGTCTCAAATAAAACAATGTCTATTCGGTTATGATATACTTGTTTTTCTTCTTGTAGTTGTTTAGCTGGGGAGAGTGTCCACTTTTATGAAGAACTTCAACAGTTCGATAAAATACCTATCGACGATACTGTTGGGAGAATATATATGGCACGACACATTATCCAGAAGTACATCGTTGCAGGTTGGATAAAAATCTGATAAATCATTTACGTAGGAATTAAATTATTCAGCTGAAATATCCATTTATTTCATTTCTCACATTATGCAGTAATGACTTTTAAATATTATAATTTCATGGAACCTTGTGTTGTTTGTGCTTAACTTGTCATCCACATTGTGTTTCTCATGTATGATGCACAGATACTGGAAATGGAAACTGGATTTTCAATGAGTCTGTGTGTATAGGATACCAACAAAAGCATCCACCTGAAATAAGAGATAGGAGCTTTCTTTTTCCAGCCATTCGATCATAAAATCTAAGGCTCAAATTTAAAATGTCTGAAGAGTGAAGATGGAATGAAGAAACAATGGATAAAGAAAAACCAGGACAAACACATATTAGAGTTTAGGGATTAGAAGTATAGAATATCTAATCAATTTGCACCTTTATGGGCTTCAAATTTGAGCCTTAGATTTATGATCAAACGGACAGAAAAGAAAGCTCCTATCTCTTATTTTTGATGGGTTGATAAGCTTACAAAATATAATTATACATGGTATAGTCATTTCATAAAGTGGTATGTTATACTAGTAATTAGATCAGTCGTTCATTTTTACCCTAAATGTTCTGAATTTCAGAAACCACTAAAACATCCTCAAGTGTCTGGGATACTTTAAAAATGACCCCAGAACGTTTCAGGGAAACAGCTCATTTGAAGTAAAATCACATTGGGTTCTCTTTTTTGTGGATTTTCTAGTCATTACAGTTCATTAGAATTTTCTCAACTGCATTTGCATTCACAACACACTGTTAGGTGCACCGCTGGAGGTGAATATATCACACCATTGCCGGCAGGGAATTTTGACTACTACCGATCTAGCTCATCCACAACTCTTTCGCAGCGCTCTTGGTGAACTTATGCATTTGATGAAACTGGTAAAGCTCTTACCTCAACTTGGATACTATGTATATTCTTGAAACCTCTAGCTATTACTCCCTCCGTCCCAAAATGGTTGGCCAAATTTCCTTTTTTGGCCGTCCCAAAAAGGTTGGCCATTTACATTTAAAGTAAGGAATATGTGGCTAAAGTTAATTCTCTCTCCTCTGCACAAATTTTAACCACACAGTTTTTACTTTATTAATCCACGTGCAAGTCAACATTGGCCAACGATTTTGGGACGGAGGGAGTATAATGCATTTACCTTGAAACCTTTCTTTCTCTTTTGCTCCCCTCCCGGTCTATTCTTTACCTGATCCTCCATTGCTATCACATTCAAA